TTCATATTTTACAAATGATGATTTGGTTTGAAAATGGATTAGTGTAGAGGTTAATGCCTTCATGAGAGGATTAGTCTAGATTAGAGTTCTAAGTTGAAATGTTTTGAGATCATGTGATCGCTTGCTATGTCTTTCTGTATAATATTCAGTCCTACTTGGTTGAGGGATTGTTTGGTCACTTATTAGGCTTGATGATTTATGCTTGTTGATTGCTTGATCATATCTAATGGTTGTTAGACTTGATTAGGTGATTAGCAAAGGGATTATTGTCATGGGAATGAATTAATCTGATTAAGAAGCCTAGACTAAAGAGTAGCAAGTGTTGCATTATGTTCTTAGCATCATGAATCAATATCTAAAGCACCCTGATCAATGATCACATCTAGAGGTTTATCTTTCATCATTTGCTTTATTATCATCTTGTTTTGTTTACTTGCTTAGTTCATTAATCATAGCTTGTTTGTTTCTTGTTTATGCTTTCTTGTTGCTTGTTACCAAACTCATCTTTGATCACTTGACTTAAGAACTTGTCACATAAACTAGTGTCTAGCAAACACACTTGTGGATTGATACCCTTTGTACTGCAAGTGACATAAGGGATTGATAACCCATCTAAGACCTGAAAAATCTTAGTTATCACCAAGCTCCGATGGTTTTTTCACTAAAGTTTGAGCTGAATGAGTAATCTTGATCGTGCAATTGGTTTCAAGACATTTGGAGTCGTGTGCTGAAAGTTATTGCAACCGGAAGACAAGTTGATCAGTACGAGCCCAAGGAGTTGTGATACGTGCTAAGTGTTTCTACGGGCCTCGGCATCATTACCTCGACATTGCTTAGGCCAAGGCTCGTCCCCTGAACTTAGTTGGACTAGACCTCGTACTAACTCCTCGGTATGTCAAGATCGAGGCACGCATGTTGGAGAAGCGAAGCTGAAAACGACTAAGTGTTGGACGTGAACCTCGGTTTAAAGACCTCGATATTGCATGCCGGACTTCATCTGCCTGAACCCCTCGACTACCAAGCCCCTCGGCATTGGATGCCGAGGTCCCTTGTCACAAACCCAGATTCAAGAACAAGTTGACTCGGAGAATGCACGTGAAGATGGATTGAAGACTAGGGTTTATGCATGTTCTTGACGTGTTCTTCCTGAGATCTTCATCTTGATTTTGCTCACGTGCACTCCTTGGCATCAAGACCTCGGCTTCACTGGTGCTCACCCGATGATCCATGAAGAGCGTTCAGTACCCAGTTTGTTTTGGGCTGACCCGAAACACTTATCCTTCACTATAATTAAATAGATTTTAGGACCAGAAACCTAAGAGATATATTTTTATCTTATTTCCTGCCTGTTTTAGCTTTAAGAACTTGCCTCTTTTGTGAAACCTGACGAATCTAATCCGATATCTCGTTTTCACGTGAAGATATTGTTCTTGTTCATTTCTTTATTTCGCCAGCATTAAAGCTTCTAATCATGACCAGCTACACGTCTTGCAAATGACTTAGTGAGCTCGTCATGATTAGTTAGTAGTCCATCTAAGAGGTTTTAGATAGGTAGATTAGGGTGTTTCCAAGATAGATTAGTGAGTTTAGGGGTATAGCTTGCATATTTCATTCCTTAGCCGATCATGCTCTCTAAGCCGGATCCAAGCACATCACTTGCGGTCCAGATCTAAGACTTTCCTCGCATCAAAAGTGTTTGAGGAAATTTCTGAACAATCGGTTAAGGGTTTAAGAGTCTTTCATCGCGAGAGTGATAGTTTGTTCTTCTTAAATGACTTATCGAACTGGATCTTAAAGCTGACTGATTCATGCTTCTCAAAAGGGATTTTGGTATGAAAGAGGATCAGTGTAGATATTTAATGCCTTTATGAGAGGATTATCATAATTTGAGTTCATGTTAAATGAAAGTGCTTGATAATATTAATTCATTAACTCGCTTGTTTAGCTTGGAGACACCCGAGTCCTTTATCCTGTCTAAAGCCTCTGCCTTTATCATCTATTATCATCATCCGATCATTTGCTTGCTTACTATTCATCATTTGCATCTTCATCTAATCTGATATCATCGCTTGCTTTTATTCTTGTTCTTTCTTGCATTTCAGGTAGATAGTTATCAAAACCTTGCTTGATCATCTTGACTTAAGGTTACAAATAACATAGATTAGTGCCTCTCCACAAGTTTGGTTTGATAACCCTTTGTACTACAAGACAGGGGATTGATACCTCTATAAAGAGCCTGAAAACTCTTAGTTATCAAACGCCTGTTTGATCTGTTCGAAAGCAGCAAGACACTCATCTGTGAACTCAAATTTGACGTCCTTGCACAGCAGAGCAGTAAGTGGTCTTGCAATCTTGCTGAAATCCTTGATAAATCGTCGATAAAACCCAGCATGTCCCAAGAAACTCCTTACTGAATTTGCAGAGTCTGGTGGTTGCAAGTTTAGCATCACGTCGATCTTCGCACGATCTACCTCAATCCCAGCTTCTGAAACTCTGTGTCCAAGAACAATCCCATCTCTGACCATAAAGTGGCACTTTTCCCAATTAAGGACCAAGTGCTTCTCTTCAGTTTAGTTTAGCTTGGAGACACCCGAGTCCTTTATCCTGTCTAAAGCCTCTGCCTTTATAATCTATTATCATCATCCGATTATTTGCTTGCTTACTTTTCATCATTTTCATCTTCATATAATCTGATATCATTGCTTGCTTTTATTCTTGTTCTTTCTTGCATTTCAAGTAGATAGTTATCAAAACCTTGCTTGATCATCTTGACTTAAGGTTACAAGTAACATAGATTAGTGCCTCTCCACAAGTTTGGTTTGATAACCCTATGTACTACAAGACAGGGGATTGATACCTCTATAAAGAGCCTGAAAACTCTTAGTTATCAAACGCCTGTTTGATCTGTTTGAAAGCAGCAAGACACTCATCTGTGAACTCAAATTTGACGTCCTTGCACAGCAGAGCAGTAAGTTGTCTTGCAATCTTGTTGAAATCCTTGATAAATCGTCGGTAAAACCCAGCATGTCCCAAGAAACTCCTTACTGATTTTGCAGAGTCTGGTGGTTGCAAGTTTATCATCACGTCGATTTTCGCACGATGTACCTCAATCCCAGCTTCTGAAACTCTGTGTCCAAGAATAATCCCATCTCTGACCATAAAGTGGCACTTTTCCCAATTAAGGACCAAGTGCTTCTCTTCAGTTTAGTTTAGCTTGGAGACACCCGAGTCCTTTATCCTGTCTAAAGCCTCTGCCTTTATTATCTATTATCATAATCCGATTATTTGCTTGCTTACTTTTCATCATTTGCATCTTCATCTAATCTGATATCATTGCTTGCTTTTATACTTGTTCTTTCTTGCATTTCAAGTAGATAGTTATCAAAACCTTGCTTGATCATCTTGACTTAAGGTTACAAGTAACATAGATTAGTGCCTCTCCACAAGTTTGGTTTGATAACCCTATGTACTACAAGACAGGGGATTGATACCTCTATAAAGAGCCTGAAAAATCTTAGTTATCAAACGCCTGTTTGATCTGTTTGAAAGCAGCAAGACACTCATCTGTGAACTCAAATTTGACGTCCTTGCACAGCAGAGCAGTAAGTTGTCTTGCAATCTTGTTGAAATCCTTGATAAATCGTCGGTAAAACCCAGCATGTCCCAAGAAACTCCTTACTGATTTTGCAGAGTCTGGTGGTTGCAAGTTTATCATCACGTCGATTTTTGCACGATCTCCCACAATCCCAGCTTCTGAAACTCTGTGTCCAACAACAATCCCATCTCTGACCATAAAGTGGCACTTTTCCCAATTAAGGACCAAGTGCTTCTCTTCAGTTTAGTTTAGCTTGGAGACACCCGAGTCCTTTATCCTGTCTAAAGCCTCTGCCTTTATAATCTATTATCATCATCCGATTATTTGCTTGCTTACTTTTCATCATTTTCATCTTCATATAATCTGATATCATTGCTTGCTTTTATTCTTGTTCTTTCTTGCATTTCAAGTAGATAGTTATCAAAACCTTGCTTGATCATCTTGACTTAAGGTTACAAGTAACATAGATTAGTGCCTCTCCACAAGTTTGGTTTGATAACCCTTTGTACTACAAAACAGGGGATTGATACCTCTATAAAGAGCCTGAAAACTCTTAGTTATCAAACGCCTGTTTGATCTGTTCGAAAGCAGCAATACACTCATCTGTGAACTCAAATTTGACGTCCTTGCACAGCAGAGCAGTAAGTGATCTTGCAATCTTGCTGAAATCCTTGATAAATCATCGATAAAACCCAGCATGTCCCAAGAAACTCCTTACTGATTTTGCAGAGTCTGGTGGTTGCAAGTTTATCATCACGTCGATCTTCACACGATCTACCTCAATCCCAGCTTCTGAAACTCTGTGTCCAAGAACGATCCCATCTCTGACCATAAAGTGGCACTTTTCCCAATTAACGACCAAGTGCTTCTCTTCACATCGAGCTAACACATTGCAGAGATTGTCTAGACAGTCTTTAAAAGATGATCCGTAAACTGAGAAATCATCCACAAAATCCTCGATTATATCTGTGAAGATGGACATCATACAGCGCTGGAAAGTCGCTGGAGCATTACAAAGTCCAAAAGGCATTCTGCGATATGCGAAAGTGCTGTATGGACATGTAAAGGGGGTCTTTTCCTGATTATCTGGGTGAATGGGGATCTCTCCAACATCTGATCGATAAAAGGCAGAGGGAACTGATCTTTCCTGATTTCTGCGTTTAGCTTCCGGTAATCGATACACATATTGTGCCCAGTCACTGTTCGCGTCAGAATCAGCTCATTCCTCTCATTCTTCACAACTGTGACCCCTCCTTTCTTAGGAACCACGTGCACTAGACTGACTCAAGCACTGTCTGAAATGGGGTAGATGATCCCAGCTTGCAGCAGCTTCATGATCTCCTTCTTCACCACTTCCTGCAGATTCGGATTCAGCCTCCTCTGGTGTTCAATTGACGACTTCGTCTCATCCTCCAGGTGAATCCGATGCATGCACAGGTCCAGAGAGACACCTGAAATATCATCAAGAGAATAGCCAAGAGCTTTGCGAAACTTGCGCAGCTTGCTTAGCAGTAAAGTGAGCTATGCATTGTTCAAGGAAGCATTGACAATAACAGAATAAGTGGAATTAGATCCCAAAAATGCGTACCTTAGCCCTGCAGGAAGCTGTTTGAGTTCAAGCATAGGGGCTTTTTCTTCACTCCAATCACTGATCTTTTTGGCTTTTGCAAGAACTTCGATCGGTTCCCCTTGAGCCACCAGCTGCATCACCTGCTCGCTTGCGTCCAGCATCTTGACATATGATGCTGTAATTTCGTCCAGGTGCTCTGCTTTAGACGCGGACGAGATCAGAGCTCTCTCCAGTAGGTCTGCAGGATGCATCTCCTGGAACATCTCCTCTGCGAAGCCTGTGAGTGTGTCGACGTAGAAGGTCTTACCATCGATGGTGGGCTTCTTCATCAGCTTGTCCATGTCAAAGTTCATAACCAAGTCTCCAACATTCAAAGCAATTCTGCCCTTCCTCACATCGATGATAGCACCTGCAGTCGCTAGAAAAGGTCTCCCAAGTATAAGAGGATCCTTAGGTTCCTCTCCATACTCCAAGACAACGAAATCGGTTGGTATCATGCAATCTCTAACCTTGACTGGAACATCTTCCAGCACTCCTTCAGGTGTCCTCGTCGATCGATCAGCTAGGATAAGAGAGATCCTCGTTGGCTTGAAGTCAGTCATGCCGAGATTGACAGCGACTGAATATGGCATAAGATTGACACATGAACCCAGATCACACAGCGATCTCTTGAATCTTTCCGTGAAGATGGAACAATCCAAGACAAAGCTTCCTGGATCAGACAACTTGTCTGGGATCCTGTTCTGAATCACAGCGCTTACTTTCTCAGAAATCATCATCACTCCCTGTTCATGGCTGATATTATTGGTCACCATTCGCTTCACATAACGCCTGATAACAGGAGTGATTTTCACAGCATCAACCAAAGATATCTCAATCACAAGCTTTTTCATCAAAGCTTTGCACCGTGCATCATCTAGCTCTTTCTTGGACTTCCTAGGGCTCCTTGGGTAAGGAACCTTAGGTTTGTAAACCTCTTCCTCAGCAGATTTTCGGACTTAGAGAAATATCAGCTTCGCTCTGCAACTGGTGACGCGCGGCACTAGTTGTGGTGTCGCTCGACACCGGCTCTGCAACTTCCAGAACTTCTTCAGGATCTTCCAAATCCACGACCTCAGCAGCAGGAGACGTCTTTTTGGGCTCAGAAATCAAATTTTTACCACTCCCCAACGTGATAGCACTGTAATGGTGCCTTGGATTGGTGTCAGTCTTCCCAGGAAGAAAACCTTCTTGCCTTTTAATAGAACCTGCAGTTTGAGCAACCTGCGTATCGAGCTGCTTAACATCGGTGTTCAAAGCTTCGATTTTTCCATTCAGATGAAGGTAGAGAACATCGATCTTTCCATTGAACTCCACGGTGAGCTTCTGCTGTCCTTCCAGAATCTGTTCCAGCATAGACTTCACCTCATTGTCAGGAGTTTGAGGTTGAGCTGAAGGAGTGTAGTAGTTTCTGGAAAAACTGTTGTTGGAATAAGACTTCTGGTATTGAGGCTTAGGCGTGTAACCAGAGAAGTTCTGATTACTGTTGAAGGTGCTCCTCTGATTGTTTCCATTGTAGCTTCTGTTACCTTGCTGATTACCAAACCTCTGATCCATTGACAAAGTTGACATCTTCCTCCTCAGCTTCATCCTCAGGTTCGAAACTCTCCACTTCCTGTGCGAATCTGACAGACTTCTTACCCACTAAAAGGCTATGCACAGAGTCAAGCTTAGCCTTTACCTAAGCAATCTGCGATCCATCCATGTTCCCAGCCTGCTTCTTTCGCTCATAATCAGCATTCTTGGTACTATTGCTAGATGCCAAGTTTTCGATGAGCACAACAGCTTTGTCTGGGTATCTGGTGTTGAAGTTTCCAATGCTCGCTGCATCAAGAGCCATCTGATACCTCCAGTCAACACCTCTGAAGAAAATACCTAACAGCTGTGATAACTTAGAGTTTTCAAGGCTCTAAATGAGGGGTTATCAATCCCTTTTGTCACTTTGCAGTACAAAGGGTATCAATCCATCATGTGTAGACACTAAGATGCAGGATCAGTTCTTAATTCAAGCCAAATGAGTGAGGTTTTTATGATTAACAACTAAGAATGGAAAACAAGGATTAAAGCTAATGATCAACTTGAACAAGCAAACAAGTAAGCTAAATGAGATGAGATTGTATGTATGATGATGAGAAAGGTCTTAGACATGATAGTGGATTAGGGTGCCTTCAGTGTTAAACTAGGGAGCTAATGAATCATGTGATCAAGCAAACCATTCAACTTAAACATTATTGATTAAGTTAATCCTCTCATGAAGGTATCAACTTCTACGCTAAAACAGTTTCTAACCTAATCTTTATTAGTGAAACATGAATCAAAAAGCATTAAGAACCAGTTTAATCTGTCATTTAAGCATATAAACAACCATTCTCATGATGAATAACACTTAAACCTCTAACAACCTTGGTTCAGGCATTTCATCAAACACTTTTGGTGCATGAAATGCCCAGAATCTAGACCACATATGATGTGTATGGATCTAGCATTACGAACAGGTTGTAGAGAACGGAATATGAATGATCTAACCCCTTGAGAATCACTTGGGTCTAGATCATAGGCATTTCATGCACCAAAAGTGTTTGATGAAATGCCTGAAAGAGCTAACTTAAGGGTTTATGTTTTAAATGCCATGGGAATGTTTGTTTGAAGCATAAATGACATATTAGAACTATTTCTTAATGCTCATTAGTTCATATTTCACAAATGAGAATTTGGTTTGAAAGTGGATTAGTGTAGATATTAATGCCTTCATGAGAGGATTAGTCTAGATTAGAGTTCTAAGTTGAAATGTTTTGAGATCATGTGATTGCTTGCTATGTCTTTCTGTATAAGATTCAGTCTTACTTGGTTGAGGGATTGTTTGGTCACTTATTAGGCTTGATGATTTATGCTTGTTGATTGCTTGATCATATCTAATGGTTGTTAGACTTGATTAGGTGATTAGCAAAGGGATTATTGTCATCGGAATGAATTAATCTGATTAAGAAGCCTAGACTAAAGAGTAGCAAGTGTTGCATTATGTTCTTAGCATCATGAATCAATATCTAAAGCACCCTGATCAATGATCACATCTAGAGGTTTATCTTTCATCATTTGCTTTATTATCATCTTGTTTTGTTTACTTGCTTAGTTCATTAATCATAGCTTGTTTGTTTCTTGTTTATGCTTTCTTGTTGCTTGTTACCAAACTCATATTTGATCACTTGACTTAAGAACTTGTCACATAAACTAGTGTCTAGCAAACACACTTGTGGATTGATACCCTTTGTACTGCAAGTGACATAAGGGATTGATAACCCATCTAAGACCTGAAAAATCTTAGTTATCACCAAGCTCCGATGGTTTTTTCACTAAAGTTTGAGCTGAATGAGTAATCTTGATCGTGGAATTGGTTTCAAGACATTTGGAGTCGTGTGCTGAAAGTTATTGCAACCGGAAGACAAGTTGATCAGTACGAGCCCAAGGAGTTGTGATACGTGCTAAGTGTTTCTACGGGCCTCGGCATCATTACCTCGACATTGCTTAGGCCAAGGCTCGTCCCCTGAACCTCTTTGGACTAGACCTCGTACTAACTCCTCGGTATGTCAAGATCGAGGCATGCATGTTGGAGAAGCGAAGCTGAAAACGACTAAGTGTTGGACGTGAACCTCGGTTTAAAGACCTCGATATTGCATGCCAGACTTCATCTGCCTGAACCCCACGACTACCAAGCCCCTCGGCATTGGATGCCGAGGTCCCTTGTCACAAACCCAGATTCAAGAACAAGTTGACTCGGAGAATGCACGTGAAGATGGATTGAAGACTAGGGTTTATGCATGTTCTTGACGTGTTCTTCCTGAGATCTTCATCTTGATTTTGCTCACGTGCACTCCTTGGCATCAAGACCTCGGCTTCACTGGTGCTCACCCGATGATCCATGAAGAGCGTCAAAAATGGTGAAAACCGCTTGGAGGAATTTCTCGGCCATATCGCTTACTGGCCGGACAGAAACCTTGGTCAAAAAGTATACCGATCGCTCATTACCGGCCAAAATCCTTACCGATCGACCAAAATCACCCTGGGTCGAGTATCGGGTGCAAAATACCACGGGTTGAGTTTTTGGCCGAGGCGAGAGAAATTTACGACCAAAAAGCTTACCGCGGTACACAGCCCTCGGAAATTTTCCTTACCGTGGAAAGCTTTTCTCGACCGAAATCTGTCCTTGTCCGCACATTTCAAAGATCAGCAATCCGGGGAACCTTCCAGTCCGAATCAGTTGGCGGGGTCTTCATCAAAGTTGGAGACAATCAAGCAAAGATCCCAGAACGATCGGAATCATCCAATTCGGACCAGTGGAGAGAAAGATACAGCTTCCGGAAGATGCACCAGCATTACGCGCATCCGAGAACCGAACGGCGGAGTCCAAAAACCACGGCGCACGGAGCCTTTCCGGACCGAATTAGCTTGTCCGGTCTTCATCAAAGTTTGAGATCTGTGGAAGAACTTCTCAGGACAGTTGGAATCGCTTAGTTCGGAGCAGTGTTTTGAAAGATAAAGTCTCCGGAGTTCACATCGGTCCAAAAAGCCTGTGTTTCCGGTGATTTCAATACGGTGCAAAGATGTGAAATCCAGGAAGCCTTCCACTTCCCAAGCTCCGACGGTTTCTTCACCAAAGTTCGAGCTTATTGAGTCATCTTGACTATGGGACTGGTCTCAGAGCATTTGGAGTCGTGTGTTGAAAACTACTATTTCCGGAAGGCAATATGGTCGAAACGAGCCCAAATGAGTTGCGATACACGCTAAGTATTTTCTCAAGCCTCGGCATCAGAACCTCGACATTGCTCAAGCCAAGGCTCATATCGTGGGAGTATTTTGAACTAGACCTCGGGCTGACGCCTCGGCACGTTGGAATCAAGGCATGCACACGTAAGAAATGAAGCTGGAAACGACTAAGTATTGGACGTGCACCTCGGTGTAATGACCTCGGCGTGCATGCCGGACTCTGTTCTACCGAACCCCTCGACCACCAAGCACCTCGGCATATCCCTTGTCACAAACCCAGAATCAAGAACGAGATGGCTCAAGAACACACACGTGAAGATGGATCAAAGACTAGGGTTCATGCATGTTCTTGGCGTGTTCTTCACGAGATCTTCATTTGGATCCAGACTCACGTGCACTCCTCGACATGAAGACCTCGGCTTCACTCTCCGACACACCGTGGCACTCACCCATCAACCCAAGAAAGCGGTTCAGTACCCGGTTTGTTCCGGGCTGACCCGCGACACTTTCCCTTTGCTATAAATACATTTTTGGACCAAAAACCTAATCATCTTATCTCTTATCTGTTTTTAGCTTTAAGAACTTGCCTCTTTTGTGAAACTGGATTAATCTAATCCGATATCTCGTTTTTGCATCAGAATCTTGTTCTTTCTTTATTTCTTTTATCATCCAAACATCAAACTCCTTATCATGACTAGCTACACGTCTTGCAAAGGACTTAGTGAGCTCGTTATGATTAGTGAGTAGCCGTTTAAGCTGCTTTAGATAGGTAGATTAGGGTGCTTTCAAGGTGGATTAATGGGTTTAGGTGTCTAGTCTTGCATGTTTCATTCCTTAACCGACGAGATCTCTAGGCTGGATCCAAGCACATCACTTGAGGTTCAGATCTGAGACATATCTCGCATCAAAAGTGTTTGTAGAAATGTCTGAACCACTCGGTTAAGGGTTTAAGAGTCTTTCATCGCGAGAGCGATAGTTTGTTCTCTTAAATGACATTTTTGAACCGATTCTTATTGCTGACTGATTTATGATTCTCAAAAGGGATTTTGGTATGAAAAAGTATCAGTTTAGATGTTTAATACTTTCATGAGAA